TAAATTAAAACAAGACTGGGAGGTACACAAGAACAGTCATTCAAAAGATACAATAAAATACATATTTACAAAATATTTTCGGTGGACAACAATTTTATTGTTTATATGCTTTTATATTATTATTTTATAGTATATATTTGAATTGAGCTTTCACATTTATATTTTAAATTTTCTTTTTTTTTTAAAGTTTTAATAATTTTGTAACATACTTTTAAGTTTCAATTTATTTTTTCAGCTTGAGTTAAAGTAATTTTAGTACTTCAGCTAAGTGTTTTAAGTCTGATAATTATAACAAATTTCAGTTTTATTTAACAATTCTGATATATTAAGTTCTGATATCTTAAAGTGCCCCTATTATGCCTTTTGGAATATTACCTTTCATGCAGTGTGTCATATAGCTGTATGTGAACATAAACTATATGCATGTAAACCTGTTTTAGGAGACTCATAAAACAATATTAGCAACCTTAAAAATGGCATAATAGGGGCACTTTAAATAAAATACCTTTAGACAGAGAATTCCAGAAATATGCACTCAGTGTGACATGAGACCTTAAAACAGTAGAACTGACCTCATCTATACTGTACAGCCTCGTTTTTACTTGCGTCACATATGGCAACGACCCTGACTGAGTTCATGAGAGGACTGAAGATCTGCAGCCAGTGTGACAGTCATGGGAAACAAGTGTAAAAATTCAATCAAAGATGCATTTAACACAGCAGACCATGGAAATAAAACTGCCCACACACACTTCTGAGAAGAGTGGAGTAGAAGAGATGCATGTGAGTGAAAAATGACAAAAAATAATTGTGGTTAATGGAGCCTTTTCACATTTCTGGGCTTCTCAGAAACAGAAGCCGTCATAGTTTGGTAAACTTCCATGGTTGTGAACGGAAAATGCAACAAATGTCATTTTTGCATTTCCATTTGCCTTAATAGCAAAAGGAAAAATCCAGGATTGGTTTCTGTCTTTCCAAAAGAGGAACAAAATATCAAGAGATTGATTACATTGGTTAAAAGAGAGAAAGATTAGCTGTCACTCCCTCAACCATTGTATTAGATTTAACCAGTTTTCTGTAATTGAAAGCAAGAAAATAAAACACAAAATAGCGTTAAACATAGTTTTATTAATGAAAATAGAAAACACATTTAAAAAATATAATATAAAATATATTTTACATTACATTTTTTAAAAAGAAACTATTAAAAAAATAGGTTACGATGTTAATAATTATAGAAACATCATCACAGTCTGTGAAAATGGCCTTTGTTGAAAAGGTTTTTGCTGTTTTGTTAATGTATTTCCATTCACTACACTGCAAAAAAGATTACTCAGTATTTTTATCGTGTTTAAAAGCACAAATAAATATCTTAACATTCTTGAATCAAGATACATTTACTTGATTAGCAAAATGACTTACGATATTAAGTGTTATTTTTTGAAAAATCTATAAAAATGTTGTCACTTTTTGCTTAAAACAAGGAAAAGTATCTTAACCTTAATTCACAGAGAAAGCAAAATGATTTTTCTTGCCCCATTTGCAGATATTTTTTCTCATTTTAAAACTTAATTTTGATACATTGTTAAGAAAACAGAAGTTAATGTAATGTTACTGTAAATGACTCTTGATTCAAGAATGTTTAGATATTTGTGCACAAAAGTACAGAAATATTTTGCAGTGTATCGAAATAATTGAAAGTTTCAGTTCAGTGAAAGTTTAACAGCACTAACTGTGCCAAAGATTTGCTCATACCAGTGAAGAGCTACACGTTTGCCACAAATGAACTTAAAGTTTGCTGCATATAACCATTTTTTTCAGTGTAGATGTAGTTGACTGTGGCCGCAGTCTTTGACAAAGGCTGGAGGAATCTCGCCATCCCTCCCCCTCTTTCTCTCTCTCTCGCTCTCTCTTGTCTGTTTTCGGTGGTGGAGGGGGGCATTGGGACCAGCCGGTGACCTCAGGCTCAAAGAATGTCCCCGTTTACTCAGACCTCTCTCTGTCTCTCTCTCTGTGTTTTTGTGTTGGGAATCTGGCCCTCCCCAGACATTTGTCAGCTCCAGAAATCTCAGTGATCTCAGCGTCGTTTGTTGTGTGTACACACGTCTACAAACATCCTCCTCTTACATTGCCATCTCAGTTGTTTTAAAATCAAATCGTTATTATTTGCACCTTTTTATTACAAATTTCTAAACACATCTAAGTGGTTCTTGATGGTGCCAAACTGCACATTGCTATGCAGGTGTGTTGCTAGGGATTTAAAAAAAAAAGTTCTTCAGGTCTCTATATGGCTCTTGTTCCTCCTCTATGGGATTTTTTCACCTGTTTTATGGTCCAGAAGGTGAACACCCTGCTTCTGCATCACTAATTGAAAGTCTTTGCCCACATCTGCGTGTGAATCGTGCTTTATCACTCTGAATTAAGTCGAGTGTTCGTGTCTCTGTCGGGCCGCTGGCTGTTTGAATGTGGCAAGTGCATAAATTTTGAGACCGTGTAAAGAAACGAGATGTCTGCCTTGAGCGCTGTAAATTAAGGGATGGGGAAAAGGGTCGGACTGATTTATGAACTCTGTGTGTGAGAGAGAAAGATGAGCGTTTGGTGGTTTTTGTGTGTTTTGAATGCGATACAGAGGTCCTAGTCTCGTGCAGTCAGTCCCTTCGCTGATTCTGGCCAAGATACGCCCATTTAGACAGAAACACACCATCTGAGCCACATGGTAAACAACCAACCTACGGCCCTAAGAAATCGGTTTTATTTTTATTATTTATTATTTTTTGGATTCCGTATTTTTTCCCCGTTTTAATATTTCTGGACTCTGTTTTAATGGTTACATTTTAGTAATCAAAAAGCATGTCTAATTAATTGAAATCATGAAACTTAAACAATTTATTAACAATTTATTAAAAGTTTTAAAAAAATGAAAAAAAATTTATAGGGCCCTGAAATTAAATATATTATTTTTTTCTCAAATTCTGTTTTATGTTTACTAAATTTTGTGTTTACGGTTTTAATTTTTTTGGATTCCATTTTAATGGTTTCATTTAATTTTAAAAATCAATCAAAAAGTATATCTAAATAATTTAATTTATAAAAACAACGTTATTTTTGCAATTATATAGGGCCCTATTAAATTTTTTTCTCTGTTATGTATTCTGTTATGTCTGTGTATTTTAGTTTCTGTTATGAAGGCATAAACTTTAATATATATTTTAATCAAATGAAAATGAAACAAACACTTTCACTGTTTGCCAAACAAAATTGCCGCACAACAGAAGTTTGCTGTTAAAATTAAGGACAAAAAATATCATTATTCCCTAATAAGATTTTTATTTGTATTAATATTTAGTATTCGTTTTTATTTTAGTGTTTAGTGTAGTATTTATTATTAGTATTATTATTACATTAGGATGTACATTCCAGACAGTAATAATATATTTCTGTCACTATTTCTTCAAGTTGTCGTGAAGACCTTTAAGTTTCTGTGTTTATATGATATGATGATAGTTATAGTTATAGTTATATATATATAGTGAGACGACAGGCACTGAAAGCACTGAGCATTTAGTGTGTGCAGTAAATGAAACCACACATCTGCACCATTCTTTCTAAAAGAGACACACAGAACATGCAGGATCATATTTAAATTGTCATTTTGTGGCTTAATATTCACAGACACTAGTCCATATTGTGATTTGATTTAAAGTAAGATTTATTCATTCAAAATTTGACACATTCTCTGACATTCCACGTTATACAGTAAATTCCGCTTTTATGACTTGATCCCAATTCTGTCCACATTTTACCCGTTGGGGGTATTATAGGTCACAGTTTGCATTTGTTTTTAGGCTGGTATAAACCTGTGCACCCTGATTCTAGGAAACACTGTAAACAGAACCAGTCAGGTTTGAGCTTTCGATGCATTTTTGTGTATGTTTCACATCCGTCGGTCAGATGTCTGAGGGAACGAACAGCTGTTCACTTAACACGCATCAGAGATGAAACATATTTCATCCTTTCTGTCATTTGATGTTGCCAGTTAAAAATAATTGCTTGTTTGTTGTCGAGGCTGTTGGTAAACACACAGCATTAAGACGCATGGAGTTTCTTCTGCAGTGTTTCTGAATGCATATAAAATGAAACTTATGGACATGGTGGAATAATTAGATTTTTTTCTCCCTCAGGACGGAGGCTACGAGGAAAGGCTTTCTATAATATCAATGGAAAGGTTTACTGTGAGGAAGACTTCCTGGTGAGTATCACAGTTAAAATCAAACTTGTGATGCATTTACAGGATGTCAGATTTACAGTAATTGAGTTTCTGACTATTTTACTTTTGCCAAACTAAGATTTTTGTAATCTTCTGCTCGCCAAGGCTGCATTTATTTGACTAAAAAGGGAGTAAAAATGTGAAATATTATTGCAATTTAAAATGAATATATTGAAAAATGTGATTTATTGCTGTGATCAGTGTCACATGATCTTCAGAAATCATTCTAAGATGCTGATTTGCTGCTCAAGAGATATTTCTGATTATTATCAGTGTTGAAAACAGTTGTGCTGCACAATATTTTTGTGGAAACTGTGATAGATTACATTTTTCAGGATTCACAGATGAATAGAAAGTTCGAAAGAACAGCATTTATTTGAAATATAAATCTTTTGTAACATTATAAATGTGTTTGCAGTCACGAGTTTAATATGCCCTTGATGAATAAAAGTATTAATTTCTTACTGATCCCAAACTTTTGAACAGCAATGCTTGATGTGTCACTGTAAAATGCTGTTTTTGATGTGCTTTTTTCTTAAATATTAAACAATTAATTTTTGAGCCTGAGCATGTGAACAGCTCAGAATCTCATAATTACAGTAATTCCAACACAATGTGAAGCATTAGTCCATTAAAACCCTTTTAATGAAACCGATGTGTCACGGATTGTTCTATAGATACTCGTTCTGTAGATCCTGTCCTCGTTTGATGTTTGAAGGCCTGCTGTAGGTCAGAGTTACACCAGCTGTAGGATCTCAACAAAGTAGCTGTAATGCTTCATTTAATTGAACGTTTCCTAAGAGGGAGGTGGAGACTGGGGCTGTATTGATTAGTGCTCTTTAGTGGATGGATGTCTCTTGGGAGAACAGATGCTGTAGCTCCGCCCACCTCTCCAATTCACTCCAGTGTGATCTTATTCTAAAGCCAAAAACACACACACACACACACACACAAACACACACACAAACAACAGGAGCAATGGGAAGATCCATCATGAAGGAATCAACTTCCTGAAATCTGCTTCTGTCAAATAATGTTGTCATTTTGATATTATTGCCACTAGACTTTCATGTGACAGTTTTGATATTAGGGACAGTATTGGCCAGGATAAAAAATTGGTCATTTTCAGCATACATACATACATACGTACTTACTTATAATCAAATATTAGCCAGGGCAATTAACAGGTCATCATTTGGCATTTTGAGAGTTAGTTTATTTATAAGTTTGTTTAATATATGAATTATTATATATATAATATTATTTAACATTTTATTATTTTATTTTTAATATTATTAGATATTTTACTTTTTGTATAATTTTGTTATTTTGTAGTGTTAGTGTACATTTGTATATAAATTAATTATATTCCTGCATTGGTATCATGCGATAAAAAAAAACAAAAAAACATTGGTCAGCCACTTAATGACCCCAAACAGTACTTGTGTTGACGTGAGCGACTGAGGAACACGCCGCCGGGGGTCCGGCAGATGGCCTGTCTGATGGGACGGGTGGGGGTTTCCTGGTATTGATCAGTCCCTCCCAACCCCACCTGCTGGCCCTTGCTCCACAACGAGCACACGCTCACACGAACACCAGCGCACCAATGAAAACAGTGTTCAGGCGAGCGGTGATGTCATCAGTACGGAATGGAACGGCGTTCCGCGGCCGGACGGAAAGTTCCACGTCGTTAAAATGTAGCCTTTGGTTCCTACAATAGAATCCGAGGATCCTGTGTGGCCTCGGCCTCTCATTTCCATAGAGTGCATGAGTGCATGTTTGAGAACATCCTTACTCTAATGGCTGTGCTCCAAACCCTTGTCACCCTGGTAACCAGGTCAAAGCCCTTTTCCGGGACAGATGGCTCCCCTCAGGGTCGTTTCTGTACTTAAGACGCCTGCAACCTGTCCACCATTAACAACCTCTGAAGTCTCAGGAAAGTCTTTTGGAGGTCCAACACCTCACACTGAACAATAAGAACCAGAATGATTCTTATAGCGGCCGCTGCCTTAATCTATCAAGTTGTGGATCTACTCAGGAATCATGCTGATAATCATGTGGGATTTTCGGCTGGTGTCTTAAGTGTTTAATCAGATGCACAGAGCTAAACAGCCCCGTAGGACGTTTCCGAAGCTCGGCACAGAGAGAGCATGCCAGCGCCCCCTTGAGACACATTCAATAGTGATGCTGCTTCATTACTGGTGCAAGTTTTTGGAATGACAGATGGGTTACACACAGGAATTGTCAAGTAGTGTGGCATCATATTATATTATATCATATTATTTTATTTTATATACTATACTATATATATATTACTTAATTTATCAATACTTATATATAATATAATTTCTATTTTTTTTGTTTAAAATTTAATATTTTTTTTATATTTTAGTATTTTTATGTTTTTAATATTTTTATAAAAATATGTAATGTATTATTTTGTGTATATAGTGCTTGCATTTTGGGTAGTTGACATGAAACGTAAAGCAGTGTGACTTGCTATAATTTATATTATAATATATTATATATTTATTTATTTAGTTCATTCATTTATATTATTGAATATTGAATTTTTTATTTAGTATTTAATACATATTTGGACTTTTACTTGGAGTGTGACCGCGTAAACACCATGATTGTGCGCTAGAAAAATGTATCTGTGATTCTACTTCAAATAAATGCTGTTCTTTTGAACTTTCTATTCATCAAAGAATCATGAAAAACAAAATGTATCACAGTTTCCACAAAAATACAGTATTCTTCAGCACAGCTGTTTTCAACACTGATAAAAATCAGAAATGTTTCTTCATATCAGCATATTATACTGATTTCTGAAGATCATGTGACACTGAAGACTGGAGTAATGATGCTGAAAATACAGCTGCGCATCACAGAAATACATTACATAACATATATTCACATAGAAAACAGCTATTTTAAATTTAAACATTTCAAAACATCACTGTTCTTTTCTGTATTTTTGATCAAATAAATGCAGTTTTGGTGAGCAGAAGAAACAAAAAAATCATGCAAAGTTAATAAATATGATCTTGCATTTGAGTTGTGGTGCTTTTTTTCTTCTGTAGTACTCCGGGTTCCAGCAGACGGCAGAAAAATGCTTTGTGTGCGGTCACCTCATTATGGAGATGGTACGAGAGATTTGATGTATTGCACTATAACTATTGCTCTCATTTTTCAGAGGAGGAAGGATCTCTTGTGAATTTAGTTTTACCATTTTAAATAAATATGCAAACAAAAATGGCTTATCAAAGCTGCATCATCTCTGTAATATGAGTGAGTGTATTATTAGATACAGAAATGATGTTATTGTGCCTCATTAGTGTGGCCACCTGTGTGTGTGTGTGTGTGTGTGTGTGTTGTAGATCCTGCAGGCTCTGGGTAAGTCGTATCATCCAGGCTGTTTCCGCTGTGTGGTTTGTAAGGAGGGTCTGGACGGTGTTCCTTTCACCGTGGATGTGGAGAACAACATCTACTGTGTGAAAGACTACCACAGGTGAGTGACAACCACGCATTTATGCTATTTTGTTACATATTTTAAATGCATAACCTGTTTAGGGCTGTTTTGGCTGTCCAGCGTAATCGAGATGTTGATGTATGTTTCAATGTTTTTCTATAGGGTTTTTGCTCCTAAATGTGCCTCGTGTAACCAGCCCATCCTCCCAGCGCAGGTACCAGCTTTTAAATGCATTAGACTGAATGTTGTATGAGTTGAATTGATGTCATGTTTCAGGACTGTCCTGACAGAGGTTAATTAGGTGTGTGTGTGTGTGTGTTTGTAGGGTTCAGAGGAGACCATACGGGTGGTGTCCATGGATAAAGATTACCATGTGGAATGCTATCACTGTGAGGTAATTCAGTGGCTATTGCTCTGAAATACTGACTAAAGGTTGCATGTTCAATCTCATTGTGAAGTCACTTAACCAGTTTTAATTCCACACGAACACTGGTTCACTGTGATTCACTCGCGTCTGGTAAATGGCACCTAATAAAAGGGGTCATGTTTACGCTCCAGAATAATGCACTGGCGTTATGTAAGATGTTTTTTGTGTGTATTAGGCCATGGCTCAGGTATGAATGTGCATTAATATTGTGAATCATTGACTGATGACATTCCAGAGCGGGTCATTCAGCTAAACTTTGAGACTTTGAGTTAAAATGTTGACTTAAACACATTTCTCAAAGAGAAAACCTCTTATTAAAGAGGAAAGCTCAATTTAGTTTTTTTGGGCTGCAGTATTATTTTAAAATTTAAATTTTTAATGTAAAATGTAATATTAGTAATATTTTTATTATATGTAAGTAGTTTTCTAAATACCTTACAACCTTAGTAATATTAGTCCTCAAAAAATGTAATATATATATATATATAAATTAATTATTTCAGAAGTGAACATTTTATTATTTTTTGGAATGTATTTTATCAATGAATAAAAAATTATATTTTATTATTTTTATAAAATGTATAGTTACATATTAATAATTAATTGATTAGTTTTATTTATTTTAAAAAAAAAAATTACAAGAAAATATGCCTTCCAATTTATAATTTGAACAAAACAATATTGCCATGTGATTTATTTATCGACCAAACTGCAGTTCTGGATTTCTTCCTCTGGCTACGGATTTTTCCAGATGACTTGTAGATGTAAAGCAAGCTTTGTGCATTAAGTTATTTACAGTGTAGATCCAGCCACAAGGGTGATGATTCATTGAAAAAGGCCTGACTTCATTTCTATCAAACACACTAAGACAATAACACATGCTTTGCAGGATTGCAGTCTGCAGTTGAATGATGAAGAGGGGCATCGCTGTTACCCGCTGGATGGGCACCTGCTGTGCCACCGATGCCACCTGCACCGGTTAAAAACCCCTCTACCGCCCCACCCACCCCCAAGTTACCCGCTCCACGTCACTGAACTGTGAACACACGACTCACGCTGAACGAGGAGCGAGAGGAAATCAAGACAGAAGGATCGGTCCTTCCTCTGAACAGTAAACATGGGTTCGGTCGTGCCCGTTTGACCACGTATTTCCACTTGTTTGGAGTCCATTTGACCAACCGGGGAGGCTTTTATTATTATTTCATCCCTCATCACGTTATCGAGGGGTTTGGGCTCGGTGTCCAGCGTTAGGTCTTCAACACTGCCGCAGGGGATCGGAGGGCGACCCGTGCCTGTTTTTCCTCCTGAACTGAACACACAGACTGAGATACGACTTCCTGTGCCTTCATCGGAAATCCTGCGTCGATCAGGCCGTCGCCTCACTCACTGCCTTCCACTTGCACCATTACTGCCCAGGGTCTTTAAAGGGACAGTCCACCTCAAATTAAAACTACAGTGATCATTTACTCACTGTCATTCCAAACTTGTATGAACTTTTCTTCCGTGGAAGAAGTGTACTAAAATGTTATTTCAAGGCAAGACACTACAAGAAAAAACTTTGTTTTTTGGGGCTATTTTGCTTCCATAACAAGTCGTCATTTAAATTTTTTTTCCCCCAGTGGAAAGAAATCATCTAAAATACACATTTAAGTGTTTATTTTATTAGGCTTTATCTATTTGCATCTGTAGTTTTCAATTACAATTCATATCAATACACATTTTCTCTTATCAATAAACATTTACATATTCTGAAGGATTTTTCAGAGGGATTATTTTCATGTATGATTCACCTGATTCACCTATATTTAACATTTTAATCCAAAAACATAATTCTAACAGTATTTTCTAAAAGTAAAATAAAAGAGAAATCCAAAACCCTCTGTGTAAAAATATGCAGGAATTTTAAACCAATGTTCATATTTCTGTTCTGGAAATGTATGTAAATGAGTGTGTATTTAATATTTAATTTTAATTACAATTTTAAATTTGTACTCCAAAAAAAAAAAAAATCTTTTTCTGAGCATTTTCATCTTGTTTTCATGTACAAATGTCTAAAGATTTTTGAAGCAAATATATTTACTTGAGAAGCAAAATTACTTACGTCTTGTTTTCAGAAAAATTTATTCAAATTTGGTTAGTTTTTCCTTAAAATTAACAAAAATATCTGCCAGCTGTATATAAGAAAAATAATCTTAATTTAAAGGGAAAATATTATTTTTCTGTCCCCACTGGTGGATATTTTTGATCATTTTAAGAATAAAACATAATTTTGATACATTTTGCAGAAAGTCAGTATTAATATCTTGTTTCTCAGTTAAATTTATCTTGATTTAAGGATGTTTATATATTTGTACTTGAAAACAAGACAAAACTACTAAGAAATTCATTTTCTGCAGTGTATTTAACAATGCATCTTTTGCATATTTAAACAACATTTCAGAAAACTTGTAATACAAAACAATTATCTTAATGCACTATGATTACTCAATCAAGGAAAGTATGATGATATCTATTAGTTAACATTTTCCTTATTTACCTGTGGTGGCTTGCCTTAAATTGTCCATAAATTGTTCAGTTTTGAAACGACATGAGGGTGAGTAAATAATGGTGAGCTGTGCCTTTAAGCATGAATTTAATGGAAGCAATGGGCCGAACACTGATGCATCGCTGGCACAACGCTGGCATTTACTTCACCTGCTGCACATAGATGGACTAACAAATGTATATTTTGCTGAGGTCTGACATGAATCGGGCCGTTACGACCTGACACCAGCAGAACGGGGCTGGATCTGTGAACGCGGAGGATCTTCTCCGCTGAAATCTTCAGACACTGGTTTATCTCTTGATGAGGTGCCTTCCTGCCTTAAATATTCCTTAACATGGAGGAGACGCACTGTAATGTGTCTCAGGAGACTCTTAAGGGACTTTAGAGGTGTGCAGGGGTCAAAGGTCAAGCCTGGATGTGCTGGACTCAACCAGGCCGGAGACCTGCTGCGTTCGTCCTGTGTTTGTGTGCGACACGCCGTCTTTAGCAGCTGCGATGCAATGAAGCGTAAGGCAACAGAACATTTTGCACATGTCAGAATAATAGTAAAGTCATGAAAACTATGAAATAACACCTGTAGAATCTGGGAATGATGTCAAAATTACTCATATTTGAGCTTCTTCTTTTCTGGATTCACATGAACAAAAATGATGTGTTGCTGGAAGCTTATTGCATCACGTCGCACCTGTTTAGGACATAAGTGAGCGTGTATGTGGAAAAGAGAGTGTGTGTGTAGTCGTGTATATTCATGTACAATAGTGGCTGGGCCACTGTGTGTGTGTGTGTGTGTGTGTGTGTGTGTGTGTGTGTGTCAAATACAGCGACCCTGATGAGTATTTAGACACTTAAAGGTATAGTTCACCTAAAAATTAAAATTTGCTGAAATTTTACTCACCCTTAGCCCATCCAAGATTAGGATGAGTTTGTTTCTTCATCAGGTTTGGAGAAATGTAGCACTGCATCAGTGTCTCAGCAATGGATGCTCTGCAGTGAATGGGTGCAATGAAGCGTAAGGCAACAGAACATTTTGCACATGTCAGAATAATAGTAAAGTCATGAAAACTATGAAATAACACCTGTAGAATCTGGGAATGATGTCAAAATTACTCATATTTGAGCTTCTTCTTTTCTGGATTCACATGAACAAAAATGATGTGTTGCTGGAAGCTTATTGCATCACGTCGCACCTGTTTAGGACATAAGTGAGCGTGTAAGAGAGTGAGAGAGTGTGTGTGTAGTCGTGTATATTCATGTACAATAGTGGCTGGGCCACTGTGTGCATGCGTGTGTGTGTGTGTGTGTGTGTGTGTGTGTCAAATACAGCGACCCTGATGAGTATTTAGACACTTAAAGGTATAGTTCACCTAAAAATGAAAATTTGCTGAAATTTTACTCACCCTTAGCCCATCCAAGATTAGGATGAGTTTGTTTCTTCACCAGATCTGGAGAAATGTAGCACTGCATCAGTGTCTCAGCAATGGATGCTCTGCAGTGAATGGGTGCCGTCAGAATGAGAGTCCAAACAGCTGATAAAAACATCACAATAATCCACAGCACTCCAGTCCATCAGTTAACATCTGGAGAAGACAAAAGCTGAAACAAATCCAGCATTAAGACGTTTTTAACTAAAATACATAGAGTTCATAA